CGATGTATTTGTTTGGGTTTTGTTTTGTTTTATGTAGGACCAGGGATTGAACCCAGGCCTTTGCGCTTGCCAGGCGAGCAGTTCGTCTACTCAGCCATCTCCCCAGCCGCAATGATGATGTACTTGTTCCCAGAACACTCTGGTTTGCAAGATCAGAGCCAAGGACCTTGCCTTACAAACCTCAGACCCTCTCTCTAACTGGCCCAGCAGTGCCCCAACCACACCCTGGTGCCAGTGAGCTACAGGACACACTGCGATCCTCTGAATCCAGGCAATGAATATAAACAGAGCTGCTTCTCATGCTTGAGACCTTAAACTCCTGTTTCTCTGGCTGCTCTGTGTATCTGCTGCCTCATTACCAGTGTGTGCTGGCACCCTTTTTGCAAAAGCAATGCCTTGCTGAGACTTTATTTATTTATTTTGCCGGAACCGGGGATTGAACTCAGGCCCCTGCGCCTGCCAGGCAAGCACTTATTCCACTGAACCATCTCCCCAGCCCCCTCTTTTTATTTATTTATTTTTTTAATGTACAGAGTCTCACAATGCAGTCCTGGGGGTGGGGCTGGCACAGCTGATGGTGCTGGGGATTGGGGAATGGAACCGTGGTCCCTGCACTTGCCTAAGCTTGCCTAAGGAGGCACGTGTCCACTGAGCTATATCAGTGGCCCCTACTGAGTGTTCTTAATGTCTGTATGTTTCACCATCTGTACTGAAAACTTGAATCTGGGAACACATTTCCAACTGGGTGCAGCAGGGGCAAAGTGAGTTTGAGGCTAAGCTGCGGTATATAACGAGGCCCTCTCGTTAAGAACACACACACACACACACACACGTCATAAAAACTCAACAAAAGAACTGGGGTGGAGGGCCTGAGGCTGGCTCGGGGTGCAGCAGTCACCTAGCATCGGCAAAGCTTTGCCTTTGGTCTCCGGCACCACAGTAGCAAACACAAAACATGTCTCGCTCTTTCACAGATTGCAGGCTCAGTTTGATTTCTTCCAAC